AAAATTTTGGAAGGAAAACACATTAACAGTTTGTAGGTGGGTGGTAGGATCATAGCTGATTTTTCTCTTTTGCTTTCAGGATCTTTAATGAATATGTATTACTTTTAACATAAAAAATTGCTATCAGCCAGGGGAAAGTGTATATTAATTAATATTTCATTATGAAGTTCTATGGTGTGACTTAGATTTTGTGAAAAATAAATGACAAAACAAGTTAAAAAATCTGTGACACCTCTTTCATAGGTTTTCACGCCTTGTCAAAATCCACAAGCTTCTCTTACCAGAAACTGGCCCATAGGAACAACTTTGTTTAATTGAATCCATAGGGTTCAGAAGGTATGAGAAAGGAGAGAGAGACAGAGAGGAGAGATAGAGATTGAGATAGAGAGATGAGAGAGACAGAGACAGAAAAAGACAGAGAGACAGAGAAAGGGAGAGAGGACAAAAAATTCAGAGAGACAGAGAGAGACAAACTAGAAAAAGGAGGAAAGAATAAGAAAATAGAATATATTTAGAAAATCTACAAAGTGCTATGTGTTCAAGGATTGTGGAAAACCCTTGATATATCTAAAAAAAAAAAAAAAAAAAAAAAAAAAAAAATTGGAAAAGGGCGGTTAAAATTAAAAAAAAAAAAAAAAAAAAAAAGAAGCAATTGGAATAGGTCAGTTAAAATTATACAAAAACTTTCCAAAAGACTGAAGCCATTCTGTTCTGCCATGAAACACTAAGGATGAATTTTAGGTAAACATACATTGGGCATGTTAAGAGTGATTGGTGTGGGCTGATCTGACCACTCCACAGGCTGCAGTCAAGCAACTGAATCAGCTGACTACATGTACATTGGGGTCTAACATTCCTGGCTTTGAACCTTGGCTTTGCCCCTTCCCTGGAACAACAGGATATCCACATGAAAAAAAAAAAAAAAAGAATCTAGACACAAACCTTACGCCCTTCACAAAATTAACTCAAAATGGATTGTAGACCTAAATGTAAAAATTCAAAATTATAAAACTCCTAAAGATAACGTAGGAGAAAATCTAGACGACCTTGGGTTTGGTAAGGACTTTGTAGATACAGTACAAAAGGCATGATCCATGAAAGAAAAAACTGCTAAGTTGGTCAAGAGTGTGTCTCCAAGGCCAGACTGTCTCGGTTTGGGTCCTGCCACTACATGCAGTGACTGTGCAAGCACTTTGGACTCGTGACTTCACCTCTCTGGGTGTGTGCTTCCACCGCTGAGAGACGGAGCTACACACGGTGGTCATGGGGACTGTGCCTTTGCATGGAGAGTTCTCAGGACAGGGCTTGGCACATGTAAGCGCTTAATAAACATCTCTTATTGCCCACCCCTCTCACAAAGAACGCCTGGAGCCAAATGGGATCCAGAATTTTTTGGATTTTAGAAAAGTAGCACAGGGCATACTCCATTTATTATGAAATGCTCCCAGCATGTATTTGTTGGGTGTGTAAGTATTCATACTAATTGGGATAGAGACTATAAATCACCTCACCATCAGATCAGTTTGCCACCAGATGCTTGCGGACTTTTATTATTTTGCCCCTCCAAACCTTAGTTTTCTCATCTGTAAAGTGGCGACAAGAGGCCAGGTACTGAGCATAACGCTTGGGACTGTCCCCTTTCTTCCTTAGAATGTAGACTCTGGTAAGCACCTCCCCTCCCGCTCCCCCCTCCAACCTCCAACCCTCCTGGAAAAGGAGGTGGGCAGACCAGAACCCATCAAGCCAGGCTGTTCTTACCTTCTTGCGGCCCCAGTTTCACCGTGTGGGATTCGTGCAGGATCTCTGCCACCGTCCTGCGGGTGTAGAGGATGGTGGCACCGCTCAGGTTGACTCGCACCCGCTGGGCCCGGGAGGTGAGGCTGGTCAAGCACAGGGCCAGCCTCAGGTCGTGGCCCAGCACGGGCGGCTCCAGCACCTTGAACTTGCCGGTGATGCTGGGCTTGGTGGCAGGCTCCAGGAGGTCATCTCTCCAGAGACCCCTTCCCCCGGCCCTGCGGATCCGGGTCCTCCTGCCGGAGGCCTCCACGCCGAACAGCTTCTTCACCGCCTTGCTGTACACCTGCCTCTCCTTCCGGGACCCTGCAGGGCGTCAGTGTCAGAGGCAGGCACCCTTGTCCTCCTCTGCAAGACTTGTCCCCCGCTCTGCCACCACTTTAAATTAGCACGGCTCTCGGAGGTCTCAAACAGGCTGCCCAAGAGCCTTAGGCAGATGTCAGCCTTAGGCCTTGTGTTGGGTTCTCCCTTTAAACAAAGGGTTTTTTTGGTTTTGGTTTTGGTTTTTGGTGGCTGGCTGGTTTGGGGATCCACACCCTTGCCATCCAAGTTTTAATCGGTTGCCCACAACTTCAGACCAGGAAATTTCACATAAAAGTGCACATTCCCAGCTTCTCTGACAACTGGGTCAGAAGCCTCATATAACGATAGCTAACACTCCTGTGGACTCACTATGTGCCAGGCACGATAGCTTCAGGCACTGTATTAGTTTCCCTAGGAGGTAGGCACTCTTTTCACCCCCAGATTACAGGCGAGGAACCTGAGGCACAGAGAAGTAAAGGAGCCCCTCAGCTGCGCGGCTCACGTGGTGAGTGAGGGAGCTGGGATTTGAACCCAGGACGTCAGGCTCCATGTTCCACTCGTGCTCCCTACCACTCTCTACACGGCAGTAATGACCTAGCGTTGAGCAGCGGCTGCCGCCTGTGGCGAGAATGTGCTCTCTGACCGTCTGTGGCCTCCCCTGTAACTCAGCTGACAAAGGCCCCCAGGGTCCTCACCTTCCGGGTACTTGTAGAGGCCCGTGATGTCCACGCGGGTGTCGCTGCCCACCGCCTTGGTGCTGATGCACCTCCCGATCTTCTTTGTGTCCGAGTACACGCGCTCCCGGCTCTCGTCCTCACGCCACAGCCAGGTGATGTAGTCCGCGTTGACCTCCGCGAACACGAAGGGGCCGTCGTGGGCCAGGTGCACGTCGCCCTCGCGGATGGCGGTGACGGAGGCGGGGCCGCACCGGAACACGCCTGGGCGGGAGGGGCACGCGTGAGCAGCGCGGGTGACGAAGACCGGGGGTCGGGGGCCCGCCCGGCCGGCCGAGCCCTACCTTCGCTCTCCTCCTGCGGGGTGGCGTCCAGAACCTGCCAGCCATTGTAAGAGGGGCCCAGGTCCTGCCGGGCAAACCAGCTCTCATTCCAGACGTGGAAATTCCTGCCACAGAGAGAGGTGGGGTGAGGTGGCCCAGAGTGAGCCCAGAGGCCCACAGGAGAGAGCCCCTACTGTAAGCCTCTACTGTAAACACCTACTGCAAGCCCCTACTGTAAGCCCCTACTGTAAGCCCCTACTGCAAGCCCCTACTGTAAGCCCCTACTGTAAGCCCCCACTGCAAACCCCCACTGCAAGCCCCTACTGTAAGCCCCCACTGCAAGCCCTCACTGCAAGCCCCCACTGTAAGCCCCTACTGCAAGCCCCTACTGCAAGCCCCTACTGCAAGCCCCTACTGCAAGCCCCTACTGCAAGCCCCTACTGCAAGCCCCTACTGCAAGCCCCTACTGCAAGCCCCTACTGCAAGCCCCTACTGCAAGCCCCTACTGCAAGCCCCTACTGCAAGCCCCTACTGCAAGCCCCTACTGCAAGCCCCTACTGCAAGCCCCTACTGCAAGCCCCTACTGCAAGCCCCCACTGCAAGCCCCTACTGCAAGCCCCTACTGTAAGCCCCTACTGCAAGCCCCTACTGCAAGCCCCTACTGCAAGTCCCTACTGTAAGCTGCTGGCTCTAAGTCTGAGCTAGCAGGTGGGCCCAGCCTGGCAGGCGCTAGAGGAGGACAGGAGAAAGAAATGCAGGAGGAAGGGAAGAAACAGACCTGGTCCCCTCCTCTGCCACGTACCCTCTACACAGTCCCCTCCCCCCAGCAACCCCTGGTCCTGTGGACAGAAATGGGGGCAGGGGCTGCACCCGAAGTCCTGAGGGGGCTGGAGCCCTTGTCCTGGCCCGACTCCATCCTCCCTGTGTGGCACAGCAAGTGGAATTTCTTTTCTGGGCCTCAGTGTCCTCATCTGAGCAGCAGGGGTAACGGTGGCTTTCATTAGCTCCCTCCTCTCTGCTTAGAGAAGCCAACCACCTGAGGGGTTTAGACTGGTGCTTGGGTCAGTTACAGACACACTCACAGTGTCTGAGTATAATGCGTGGCCTTCAGTTAGCCTCAAAGGGCAGGCAGCATGCTGGCTAGGGGCGTGGATGCTGGAGCCAATAGGGTACTGTCACTGCATCTTGTGAATCATTTGTTTGACCACATCAATGAAGCATATCATTCATATATATGTACATATTTGTGTATATGTGTATGTGTGTATATACAGCATGAACCTGCTGTTCAAGGTGCTACAAACAAAACTGCAGATAAGACAAAAGATCCTCGCCCTCGTGCAGCTTACATTCTAACGAAGGAGACAGGCAAAATACGTCAGCAGGTGAAGAAAAGAAAAGCAAGAGGCAATAAATGCTGGGAAGAGAAAACGGGGCTGGAGCTGGAGAATAACTGCTGGAGAACCACTCTAGGTAAATAACATCTAAGGCGACACCTAAATGAGAGAGAATTAGCTATAGGCAGAGTGAAGGGAACAGTGTTCCAGGTAGAAGGAACAGCAGATGCAAAGGTTCTGAGACAAGAAAAAGTTTACAAGGAACAGAAAGTATGTAAGTATTTCCAGGGTATGCAAGCTTGGGGTGTAGGTAGGGTGTAGGTTACGCAGAGCTCTGTAGGCTCAGGTAAAGAGTTCTTGCTTTATTTTTAATTTCCTGTGTTAAAGATGAGAATATAAAACTAGAAAACATGACATTATTTGCACAAGGTCACACAGAAAGGAAGCAGCCGAGGGAAACCTGATTCCTGGTTTGCCTGACTTGGCATCTTTACATCTGGCCTCACAACTCCTCTTAGGGAGGTCATTATCTTTGCTTGGGAAAGTGTCTTTTTTTTGGCTGCTGGCCGGTACAGGCTGGGGCAGGGATTAAAGCGCTGGACTTTGGTGTTACCAGCACCACGCTGTAACCCACTGAGCTAACTATCCAGCCTGGGAAAATAAGCATTTGGGGATGAGCGGGTGTCTTTGACAACCTGGGTGGTGACAGAGAACTCAACATCAAAAAGAAGCATGTTCTGCACGAGGAACGGAGAATGCACTTTTTTTTTTTTTTTTTTTTTTTTTTTTTTTTTTTTTTTTTTTTTTTTTTTTTTTTTTTTTTTTTTTTAAAGATGACTGGTAAGGGGATCTTAACCCTTGACTTGGTGTTGTCAGCACCACGCTCAGCCAGTGAGCAAACCGGCCATCCCTATATGGGATCTGAACCCGTGGCCTTGGTGCTATCAGCACCGCACTCTCCCGAGTGAGCCACAGTCCGGCCCGAGAATGCACGTTTTGGTGCTCCCAGGGGGAGGGCATGGAGAGGACCAAGAAGAGCAGAAGGAAAGCGGAGCAGAGAGGAGAACCCGTGGCCTTGGTGTTATCAGCACCGCACTCTCCCGAGTGAGCCACGGGCCAGCCCGAGAATGCACGTTTTGGTGCTCCCAGGGGGAGGGCATGGAGAGGACCAAGAAGAGCAGAAGGAAAGCGGAGCAGAGAGGAGCAGAGGGGCGGCGTGAGGCTGCAGACGAGCTGGGGAAGGGATGCCACGGCTGTCTGTTTCTGTGTCGGGTTCTCTTCGCCATCTCCCCAGTCTTCAGAAAGTTGGCTTTGTGTGACAGACTCGCACATTTGTGATCAGACATTCTTACAAGGTTATCACGAATGCCTTGTTTGTAAAAGCAAACTTTTTTTAACGGAAGCAACTGAAATATGCATCCACATGGGATGATCAGGTAAGCGATGATTTTTTTCCTACTGTGGAGAGGCAGACCAGGTTCACATTCCTACTCTTCCACTCACAAGCTGTGTGGCCTTAGACAAGTTACTTAACCTTTCTGTGCCTCAGTATCCTAACCTGCAAAATAGAGTTAATAATACTAATCTACAAGGTTGGAGGAATACATGAGTTAATCTACGTACAGCACTTAGAACTGGGCCTGGAACAGACTAGGCACTCAGTGAGTGTTGTGTTATTAATACTTTAAACATTATGGAAAATAAGGGATACTCTTTGTGTGCTGATATGAAATTGTAAGAAACTCATCACAGCGCTGCCTCTGGGAGGACGGGGACGCTGGGGAGGCTGGGGAACTGGGTACATATCACTGTAACTCATTTTGTCCCTTTTGAATATTAAGCCACATAAACACATTCTTTATTTTAAAAATTAAGTTAAAATGAATTTTTTAAGAAGCTTTGTGAGAAGAGTTTTGGTTTAACTGAGGAAGGGGGTTGTTTCCCACCGTAGACACACAGCACAGAGAACAGGTAACTAAAGTAGAGCAGAGCGTGAGCCAGAGGTGACCGTGACGCAGGAATTCCCACCCGCCCCCAGGAAGCCACAGGAATCTTGGGGAAGGCTCAGATTCCCAGTGAGTAGAACCGGAGATTCAAGGCAATCGAATCTTGACCACCCTCCTGACCTGTGAGTCACATGTCCACAGACCCTGCATCTCAGAAGAGGGACCACCCCATCTGCAGGTTGCCTCTCAGTCCTTCCAGAACTGGCTCAGGCTCAGGACAGCTGGGCTAGGGATCTGCCATCCCCGCCGTGTTATGGAAGATGAGGCCTTGCTACACCTGCTGGGCTGGGGGCAGCCCCTTGTCCTGACCCTCAGACCCAGAGGCCTAGGACCCACCACATGCTGTCTTCTGTCAGGTCCTCCAGGGTCCGCCCGAAGGAGTCCACATATTTGTCCACACTCAGGTTCCTGTCCGTGTCATGGGCTGAGTTGAAGTTGGACACAACCCGTGTCGCAATCCCCAAGCACCTAAGGACTGAGAGTAGAGGCCCGGGAGGCTCCAGGAGCAGGCTGGGACCCCAGACCCAGAGGGAGGGGTCCCCTCATTTCTGGCCAACTTCCCTCCACCCCCCAGTCTTTGTCTACTTTGTCAGGTGGGAGGCCTGGGGCCCCATCTCCTGTACATTGTCTCAGGAAACTACTGGAGATGCTACTGCCACCCTCTTGAATAGACAGGCTCTGGGGCTGGTAGGACCTTGGAAGCCACATAATAGAGCCCTTTCACTTTTCTGTGGTGACCTGAGGCCTAGGCAGCCAGAGGGCTTGGCCAAGGCACTCAATGAGCTAGAGGCAGAGGGAGGTAGGACTCCTTCTGCAAAATAAATGATTGAAGGTCAAGTAAATGAACTACTTGGTTTCTTTCTTCATTAACCAGATTTCTATTTCCCCCTCATCAACAAAAACTTATTGTAGCATATGCAAATATATGTAAAACATGCACATGATGGAGCTGGCTAAGGGGAGGGGCCCTCCTCTCCCAGGTACCTGTGCACATGACTCCAGCGAAGACCCAGCACTGGCCGTATTTGACGGGCTTGTATCTGCCCTTGAACCACTTCTGCAGAATGGCCACGCTGCCGCGCCAGTGCAGCGGGCTGGTGCCGCTGCCGTATTTGCCCTGCCACTGGCCTTGCACCACGCCCCGGTCATTGTTGCTGTTCACCTGGGCAGAGGAGGCACGGGTCCAGCACCGGTGGGGGGCCCCACTTCTGCAAACTTGCCACTGTAAAATCATCTCCAGCTTTGGACTACCAAGTCAATTGGGTCACTCCGGCCTTGCACCACGCCCCGGTCATTGTTGCTGTTCACCTGGGCAGAGGAGGCACGGGTCCAGAACCGGTGGGGGGCCCCACTTCTGCAAACTTGCCACTGTAAAATCATCTCCAGCTTTGGACTACCAAGTCAATTGGGTCACTCGGTGCTTTGAAATTGTTTGAAAACTGGGGGTATCTGCTGTCTTAAAACACCTACTTTTTAGTACCACTATCATTTTCAGTATCTTCTACTTGGATACTCTGTTGCTGAGAATCATCTACAATTTTAGAGCATTTCCTGTTTTAAATGATCCATTTTTGGGGACTGTTGGTGCTATAATAATTATAGAAACAGCTGACATTTATTAAATACTTACTGCGGGCCAGGCACTACTCTAAGGACTGGTGCACACTGTGTTAACCTGCTTAAGTCTATATTGGAGGTTCTATTACTCTATTATTCTCCCTGCCTTTTTTTTTTCAGATGAGAAAACCAAGATTCAGAGAGGTTAAGGTACTTGCCAAAATCACACGACAAGTTAGTTAAAGGGGTGACACATGAGTACAGGGCTCTGACTTGGGAGCCTGCGCTGCTGTTCACAGGCTATAATGCTCTGCTGTTTGGGACGGGTCACTTTTGGTAATTCTCTACTCCACATCTCTGTGAAGTCCTGAGGAATTGAAAGTATCAAATATGAGAAATAAAGATTTGTCCATTTTTGGAATCTCAGATACACACCCATTAACAGCTGCATGTGATAGAGCTAGTAAGCCCTCCAGCTACCTTTTGAGGAAGAAGCAGGTGGCTTGAGACATGTGATAGGTTAAATTTGGCATCCTCCCATGGAGAGGTGAGGCCTATGTCTTCTCCCCTTGAGTCTGAGCTGGCCTGTGTCTGCTTTGACCACTGACTCTGCTGGAAGTGACACTGTGCTAGGCCTCATAGGACTGGAAGCTTCCACTACCTCTTTCTTTGAACAATTTCTTGTGGGGGTTGAGGGGGAGCCAGATGCTGTGTATGAGACTGCCATGCTGTGAGGAAGCCCAAGCTAGCTGTGTGGAAAGGCTGCACGGAGAGCAGTCACAGCTGGTCAGAACCAGCTGCTCCAGCCAGCCCAGCCCAGGAGCCACACATGAGGGTGAGGAAGATATCCCAAACATTCCAGCTCCAGCAGAAACGACATGGATGGGAACCCAGGAGCTGCTGACCACCACAACCAAGCCCCAGCTACATGGTCCCATCAAACCACCCCGGACATCTGCATCCATTCAGATGCCTGCAGCAGAGGCATAATGGAGCAGAGGCAAGCCATTCTCACGATGCCCTGCCCAAATTCCTCATCTGCGAAAGTGTAAGCATGATAAATGGTTGGTTTATGCCACTGAGCCTTGGGGTGGTTTGTTACGCAGCAATAGAAATTAATACAAGGAGCGACTTGGAAGAATCATAGAGCATGGCTGTGAGGTTGGCCTGGGGACCCTTAAGGGAGGGAGTGTTCAGAGACAGCAGGGGCTCCTCACCATGGCACTGACGACCCTGGTAACGTAGATGGGGTCGTGGCGGCGGGACACATCCATGGCTGGGTTGTCTTGGTGACTGGGGCTTCGGTCCAGGATGGACAGGCAGATGTCCAGGATGTCCTCTTCAAACTGCTCCCCAGAGAGACCATGCTTAGAGGCCAGAGCCTCATCCATATTCCAGGCCCTCCCTTAATCCCCACCTGGTCAGTCCCTTGTGTCTGTGCCCTACTCCCACCCCTCAGGGACATCATAGTGCATCCCGAAGTCTCAGAAACCCCTCCTCAGAGAGTTACCTGCTGAACCAAAAGCTCAACCCTCATTATGCCCCTCCCCTGTTCAAGAATCTCCCGTGTCTCCCTGCTATCTATAGTGAAGTCTGTGGTTAAACTGGTGGCTCCTGAGCCACATCTGCCTCGCTGATATACTCATTTGGTCTATGTGCTGTGTTGAAAGACATTTGAAGTAGTTGACAACATTTAAAAGCTGGAGGACTTTTGTACACACATTTAGATTTCTGGTCTCTGGAAATTTGGAAGGTCTGGCACCCCCCAGCTCAATTTACCACATTTCTCAAATGGCAACAAGAAGTGGGTGCTAAGTAGTGGATGCCTCAGATGGACCCTAAATTCTCCAGTGTATCATCCCCGCCCAGCCCTTGAGCCCCACATGCTTTCAACACCCAGGACAATGCAGGAGTCCTTTGCTGGATGGTCAAGTCCTTAACTTGCCTGTCCAACCTTCCTCCGAGCTGGGCCCCAGATCTCGGGCAGATAGAACTCCTCTAGGAGGCTCAGGGACCCCTCACTTCCCACCTCCTTGTTCTCTGTCTGCTCTTTCCTCTGTCTGTTCAGATGCTGCTCAACTTTGGAGCCCCGACCACAATATTGTAAAAACTTTCACAATCCCCAAGGTGGAGATTTTTTCACCCTCTTCTGGAACCCCTTTGCTCCCGTCCCTACCACCCTGCCTTTCCTTGTCTTCTCCATCTGAGCCTCCTTCGCTGCTGTCCAGGCTTTGTCCCCTTCTGGTTCTGATGTCTGGAACTCAGCTTTGGTGTGGAGGGCCTCAGAAGCCTGGGGTCCTGGCGGAGAGGAGAGGCAATTGGGAGACCCTGACCCTAGGAAATCCAGCTTTAGAGAGTGGGGGAACCACTGGAAGCCCACCCTGGACCCCCTGAACTGCTGGGAGGCTGCTGGGCAAAAAGACCTGACCAAGAACAAGAAGGCCACCTTAGAGTGGCAGAGTGGGGACCACCTCAGTTGTCCTAACTCCCAGCTACTTGTGGGCCAAGGAGAAAGTGACAGCACCCCTTGAAAGCAAAGTTAGCCTTATGTCTGGCCAGGGGAGGAAAGAAAAGCTTGAGCTCCAAAAGGTTCTGATGATTTTCCATACCCTTCCAGAGCCCTGGATTCCTTGGTATGCATAGTACCACAGGGTTCCAGAGAGGTCATCTCATCCATCCCATTGTCTGCAGGCAGCACCTCCCAATCATCCCCAGAAAGCTGTCATCAAAAGCCTCCAGGGTTCAGGGCTCAGCCCACCCACAAGAATTTGCTTCCCCCAGAGCCCAGGCTGCTGACGGCTGTCTCAGGTTACTGGTCACAAGACAAGTCTTCCAACTGCAGACCCGCAGGGGGCGCCCGCGAGCCTAGTTACCTGTCTCCACCGTGAAGATGACGTTCTCTTCGCTGTCCAGAGCTCCGCTCAGCTCCAGCCTGAGGCTGAATATCTGGCCCCTGCGAACCACCAGCTTAGGGCAGGGGTACTCCTGGGTGTGGTGGGCAGTGCCGTTCCTCGACCGCTGCCAGTTCACCTTGGTGACTCTGATCCCTGGGCAGGGAGAGGACAGGGGGCTGAGGCCAAGTCCTTGGCATGCTTCCCAACCGTGCTTGGCTTGTCCTCCCGTTTCCTTCATCCCGCGGGTCATTCGTTTTCCAGTCATTCTCGCTATTTGCATTAGGTATGTTCTATAAAGTCACTGTGGACACTGAATTAGTGAGAAGTGAACCGTCGCCCTTGGGGAAAATACAGGGTTAGGTTCCTGGGAGCCTCTGATCACAACTTTTTTATCAACAGATCAATATAAACCCTTCTTTATGTGTGTTTCTGTTAAAAGATTATTGCTGATTCTTTAACATTGAACTTGTGGCCAAGAGCACTATAATTTATGTATGAACCAACCTTATACCTGTGTTTTCCCTGTAAGGCACATCACAGGATTCCTGTGCACACATTGCTTTAGCACCTTGCTTGGGGCCATTTTAAACACTGAAATCATTAACATAAAGCACAAAATTGCAAAAAAAAAAATGCCATTACATAGATCATGAAAGGACGCTTGTTTATGCTTGGGGCCATTTTAAACACTGAAATCATTAACATAAAGCACAAAATTGCAAAAAAAAAAAATGCCATTACATAGATCATGAAAGGACGCTTGTTTATGTCTGTGAACAAGATGGATGTGGGCTTGTCCTCAACAGCTGGCATGGTGAGGCCACATGGCTCAATAGTTATGAAAAGAGCCTCTGAAGTCAGCTGTCATGGGTTCAAATATGACTTGGCCATCTACAGGCCAAATTACCTTCTACTTGACCTCTCTGTACCTCAGTTTTCCCCTGTGCAGAATGCGATAATGATGCCTTGCAAAGTGATTGTGGTGATAACTGTCTGCCGTTTAGATATCTCAGAATATGAGCGGTCAATAAATGTTAGTTATTATGTTCCAGATGAGTAGGGGTGACACCTATAAACAGGTGAGTCCACACATAACTAATTACTGTTTTGATACATGCTGTCAAGGAGAAGCACTTGGAGCTGAGAGAACATGTGACAGAGGGACCTGACCTGGTCTGAAGGGTGACAAACAAGGCTTTCTCAAGAAGGTGGTATTGAGGCTGAGTCTTGAATTGGATAGGGTGTTTCCAGGGGAGAGGTGAGCAATGGATCTAGTCTCAATCCAAGTATCCTCTTCCTCCATCTATTGGGTGTTCATTCATTCAGATGTTAGGGATGTGCTGGCTGCCACAGGACCAGTAGTCTGTGAAATACCCACTGGCTCTGCCATCAGGCAGTTGACAGCTCAGCAGAGGAAATTGGTAATAAGCAGATAGATCTCAAATGTCTAAGAGCAAGCTTTGAAAAGTTCTCTAAGGGAGAGGCCCAGGGAGCCCCAGGAGCACAGAACACAGGACTCGCGCAGCCTGGCCTCCTGGCAGGAGCTGTGGCACTAGGCACGCAGGCAGGAAGGAGCTCTGTGACTTCCAAAATTTGAGAGAAAGCTGATGGGGAAGGCACTGAAGTTGGAGGGTTTTGCAGGGGCCAGATCACCCAGACTTGGAGGGGGATGAGGAGTCCGCCCTTTATCCTAAGGGCTGTGGTAAATCAACAACAGTTTTAAGCAGAGGCATGATGTGATCAAATCTGTACCTTTGAAAGATCACTCTGGCACAGTGTGGAAGATTAATTGGTGATATCTGATGAGGTGCTTTAGGAAGTAAAGGGATGCTCTCCCTTAAACTGCTTTTCATCTCTGCTCACACATCTGCTCCCAAACCTCCACTGGATGACCCATTACCTCTTATGATCTGTCCAAACTCCTTGTCTCAGACAAAAGACCAGCAGGCTCCTGCCGCCTTCCACCCCTCCAGCTCACCTCCCATCCTTCACAGCTCGTTTTTGCTTTGCTCCGGCAGCATCTGACCCTCCCTCCCCACACGCCCCACTCATCTCTTCCCTGCCTTGTGCTTTTCCTATGGCCCCTTCTGGTTGGGGTGCCTTGATTGTGCTCTGAGAGATTTCCGTGCCCCTTGCCCTAGCACCAGATTCATCTCTCCTTTGTTCAACCAGGTAATAAGTTTGGACTAACACAAATGACAATTACAAGAGCTGCATGTATTCAAATGTTTATGCTTCCTAAGGATCCTGGGAGGCAGGTACTCTGATCCTTCCCGTTTTCTAAATGCAGTTACCGCTCACTGGGCCCCTGCTTCCTCCCTTGGGCCATTTTCCACATGGCAGTTGGAGGGATCCTGTTAAATGTAAGATCACTTCACTTCTTTCAAACTCTCCACTGGCTCCAGGCTCGCTCAGCAGAGCTGAAGTCCTGGCAAGGACGTGCAGGCCTTTCTGATCGGCCCTTTGGTCTCCTTCTGGGTCTTCTGTTTCTCTTCCCCTCTGTCATCCGCTTTGGTCACACTGGCCTTCTCACTGTTCCTTGAACCTGCCGGCAAGCTCACTGATCAGGGCCTTTGCATGTGCTGTCCCCTCCGCACGCAGCACTCTTCTCTCAGATACCTGCAGAACCTGCTCCCACCCCTCCTCCTTCAAGTCTTTGCTCAAGTGCCACCTTTTCAGTAAGGCTTTCCCTGACCACACTTTTATAAATTGCAAATCACTCCTACCATGACCCTCTTCTTTCTCCACTATTTTTCTCCACAGCACTTACTGACATCTTACATGCAGTATATTTTATTTCTTTACGTTAATTGCCTGCATCCCCTTTCAAGAATATTAACTCCATGCAGGCTGGGAGCTGTGTCTCTTTTGTTCACTAGCTGATCTTCAGTGCCCGATATATGGAAGGAGCTCAACAAATATTTCTTGAATGAATTTATGAATGAATGAGGAAACTGAGGCCAAAAGAAGTGAAGTAACTTACCAAGGACACACAATCGAGCAAGGGCTGGAGCTGAGTCTGTGAGCACCCTGGTTTCCAGCTCTTCGCCACTGGGCCAGGGGTCACACTTTTTTGATTGTGACTCACATAAGAAATACTTTTTTATACTACACTGCATGCAAACATATATACATGTATAGATACAAACTGAAACAAAAGTTTCACTAATATTTTCCCTTGTTGTGAATAATGAACACTGAAATTTTATATTCTTTTCTGTCCCAGCTCTCTAGCCAAAGAGCACCAGGGACACTTGAGTAGCTGAACAAGTTGGCTTATTGCTCTCTGTAGTGAGAAAGAGCGCACGGCACGGAGAACCACGCAGCATCTCAGGCAGAGCACGTTGCAAGAACTTATAGGACTTGCACTTATGTTAGGTGATTTGGGGGAGATTTCAAGGAAGCAGGCTTTGCTCTGGGTTGGATGCTGTCAGGAATCAGGGCAAGTCTACATTTGAGTATCTTATAATTCTCATGCAGAAGGTGGGAGGAATGAATCAAAGTGAAAGATGTAAGTGGTAAAGAAGCAGCCGCCAATCATATTAGCCAGAATATAGGAGGGTTTAGTCATTTTTGTGGCTTAGATGATGTTCATGTTTTTGTCTGCATTCACACGTTTCTGGTGTGGCCTTGTTTTTGTCTTGATTCACTGTGGTCACCTTGTCTACTGTTGGTGTCCTATGAAATTATTTATGTTCAACGAGAGGTCACCATGGCCAGCTCCTAGTAATGCCAAGGCCTGGCTGGTAGTAGCAGGTCAGCTCTTGCACGTCAGGGGCTGCTTTTTGCTCTCAATTTTATTTACTTCTTAAAAATTGATTTTGTCACCTATTTAACTTCATGACCCACTAGTGTGTAGCTGCTATTTTTTTGACACATACTTAGTATAAACTGTCATAACTGGCTTCATGTCCAGGGCTCCCTCTAGCCCACTTGTTCTCAAACATGGCTGTGCATTGGAATCATCTGGGAAGCTGTAACAAATTCTGATGTCTGGTTCCCTCCCGCAGAGATCCTAATTAGTCCAGGGAGTTGCCTGAGCATCGAGATTTGTCAAGTTCCCCAAGTATTTCTGATGTGCAGTCTTGGTTGAGAACCACTGGTCTAGAGTCCAGAATCTCCTAGACTGTTGACTCCTTGAAGGAAGGGGCCTGTATTTCTTCTCCAGCATAGGGTCTGACATAGGGACACCGGGCAGTGCTGGCACAGGGAATGTTCACAGAAGAAAGGTGGGGCCTTGGTCTCTGATGGAGTTTGGATGTATTGTCCTCCCAGAACTCATGTGGAAATGTGATCCCCAATGTGGCAGTGTTGGGAGCTGTTTGAGTCATGGGGGTGGATCCCTCATGAGTGGATTAATGTTCTCCCTTGGGTGGGGGTGGGTGGTTATGAGTGAGTTCTCACTCTGTTAGTTTCCTTGAGAGCTGGTTGTTTAAAAGACCGTGGCACCTCCTCTCTCTCTCTCTCTCTCTTCCTTCCTCTCACCATCTGCTTGTTGATGATCTGCTTGTACCTGCAGCTGGCTGCCGTTTTCCGCTATGAGTAAAAGCAGCCTGAGGCCCATGCCAGATGCAGCTGTCCCAGAATCGTAAGCCAAATAAACCTCTGTTCTTTATAAATTACACAGTCTCAGGTAATTCTGTTACAGCAACACAAAATGGACTAATACAGTCTCAAAGGGGCCCAAGTTTAATGGTCCTAATAAAGAGCCATTTTCAGCGGGGGTGGTTTAGGGGATGGCACGGCCCCCGGGAGCTTTTTTTTTTTTTTTTTTTTTTTTTTTGT